TGAAAGGGCTCGATAGAGCCACTTTGGGATATCAACATTTCAAGAAGGATTTTTTCCAGCGGCTTCTAGGTAACAGAATTGCAAGCGATAGATCGATATTTGTTGGAACATTTTTTGACACTGGTGTGATACTGACAATTCTAGTGCAGCCAACAATTTTGTGTTGCTGCATACACATTATGTCTACAGACGCAGGGGGTGTTGCCTAAAGTTAGCTCTATATCCTCCATCATTAAACCCAAATGAGGGTATTTGGAGCATCCTAAAAGTGTATGTGAAGCAATCTATGAGGCTGAGTTCTTCCGATATGCTCCAAGCAGATCCTTAGGGTATACGCTGCAACAGCGAGTGAAGAATGTTTTCTGAAGCGAACTGTGCCAGAGGCACGAGCCTGCATGACGTCTCAGCATTGCCAGCACATGATAGATCATGTGAGAACGAATTACCAGCCTGCGATACACTGTACTGATTTGTATATTCCTCTTATTTCGCTAATATAAACGCAAATAATTTGAACTGGTGTTGTCACTGCAAAGCATCTCGAAGCCATTATTTCGACCTACAGGTATAAACGATTGTGCTCAGCCTAAGTGTTGTCGCAGAGCGTCCTCGCATGTTTCCGCGTTAGGCGTTGAGAGACAACCAGAGGGTATCCGGATGATGCTTGTCAATCTGGAATACAGTACTGATAATGCTGGAACGTCATATGTTGTTACGTACGTGGCTAGTTGATGAAGGAGAGTAACACGTCATTGGTATTGCGCAGCAAAGATGAGTCCGTCAGTTTATGCAGACTATTGCGGGTGGGTCAAAATAACATAAAGCTATAGCTTGCCTACCACTGCGTGAGAACAGGTACTGTGAGATACGCTAAGCCAAAGCGTCAGATGTAAGCCACTGATCCCTCTCAGGATGCGAAATAGCTGTTTCTCGCCTTACTGTCAAGCCTATCAGAGGGTTATGTGGCCAACTGCGCTCGCTTCAGCGCCTAGGTTGTACCGATGTAGACGGTGCGTCCTTAGTCATCCACTAATTGTTATTGGTGCAGTGAATGTCTAGGCTACTTTGTGTGACCGTGTCATGTGACTCATGTTTGCCGCCAGATTTTGACAGCCTGGAGTTCACGGAACATGTCCGACATTCAGGTCACCATGTGAGGCCAAGCGGTATTACTCGTTGGACTGTGACTGCCTGTGCCCGTGTGAGTACCGCCGAGTACATTTGCTCGTGACTGTGTGCTACTAGCTGAGACGACAATAGGCTCAACCATTGTGCGTGTGTGTGTGTGTGTAAATTCAGTGCGTAATTGATTTCTACTTTCTGTACTCCTGTTGCATCTGAATTCCCCAATAACCAAAATTGCCGGTAGTTCTTTGTCTTCTCCCACTTACGCATATGCGTTACATATGCGGTATTAGTCCGATACACAAAGAATAATACAATTTCGGTAACAGCCCTCTCATCACAGTGTCGCTCACGACGTTCCTCTCTTACCCAAAGCAGCCACCTACCAACCCGCATATATATATATATATATATATATATATATATGTATATGTATATGTATATGGTTAATTTCGATAACATTTTCGTGTTTGTGGCATTTCCATAAAATATACATTCCGACCTCGTGAACTTATCTCGGATTCGTTTGTAAACAACTTATTTCGTACGCTCATTAATTTAAGATTTATGCCACCGTTACCTTATGCATTACTCGGTTTATTTTATTTGTTATCTTTCTCTCAAGTGATTGGCTGTTGCCTAATATCCCCGGGGTGGCTGAGCTAGATGTGCATGTCGACAAAGTGCCTACCTGTCTATTACCCACTGCCTCGTCCACACTGGCTGCAGGAGACAGTTGGTCGTTGCTAGAGGGGACGGGATGCACGGTCCTTGTGGTTATGCTAGGCTCGAAGAGTGGTTCCATACACTGAGTGTGGAGCGGACTACGGTCCAGCCACCGCCTTGTGTGCGCTTGATTCACCAAATACAGCGTGATTGTATTTGCCTGTGAACGAGTGTGGACCGGCTCCGTTAATGAAACGTGGCTCCCATCCACATGCCTCCCGGTCTTATTCCTTCGGGTTTACACCGGATATGGGGTGTGTGGTTGTGGCTGTGGGTGGTCCAGCGTAAGACACCTATGTTCCCTCTGTAGGCGCAGGCATCCTGTGGCTGTCCACAGTGACAGGCACATCCAAAACCGGATGCCGCCAACCATATACATGACATTGGCCTATTTTTCGTTTGTCGAACGGCTCCTCACTGACTGACAAGGTTCTGGAGAAAAAAACCACCGGTCTATCGCTTTGGTTCAAGCTTGATGTTATGGCAAATTCAGAGGGATCCGTTTCCACGACCAGTGGAATTTTGGGATCAAACTTGAACTGCGCTGCTTTCTCCAGCCCCCGCAACCAAATCATCAAGAGCCTCCTTAACACTTACGGGGAACGTGAAACAAACAATACAATTAATTATCTTGAAACATTAGGCTCATTTTAGGTCAAAATCCCGACCACTCGCTTTTGTGCCTTCAGGTCGTGCGGTCTAAGTGGCTTATGCAACTGTCTGAATCGATCAGAGTTTGGCTTCGGATACTTCCTATCCGAGTACAGTAATTTTTTGCACTCTAACCATAATTTTGATCGGGTTAACTATCAGTTAATACTTTTGTGCCATAGATAAAAACTGCTCGCGATTGCAATTATATTTTTATGGTTCTCACCGCAAAAGTTGTTATCTAGCCACACAATAAAACCAGATGGCTCTCCGCTTTCATAAGATTACTTAGGGTTTATTGGTAACACACCACGCCGTTCGTAACTCCGAAGGGAACGAGACGAAACAGATATAGGTTTCCGTAACCCTCAAAGGCAGTGTACATATTTTCACTTTTGTTTCTAGATCTCTTTGCAGGTCCAAATTGCTATAAACATATTAATGAGACACCTCAGCTAGTTTACAGAGTCGAGCTAACGGAAACGCATCGAGATAAGTGAACTGCTTGATCGTCTGGCTGCAACCGATAACCATCCGCCTTTTGTTCTTCATTAGTAGCCACACGCACTTGGACACGCCATGGAGATTTGGACGGTTCGATTATCCGTTCATTTCGCCGTCGTTGGGACCTCAGCTTGAATAAGGCTGGCTTGCTGAACTACCTCCTCGTGGTGGCAGCTGGGTGGTTCGGGTGTACCCTGTTTCAGCAAAGTGTTCGGCGACAATGTTCCACCTCGGTGGGACATTGTATTTCTGCAGGTGTGCTGACTTCATGGGGAGTATTGGGCCCCTGTTTGGTAATCTACCAACCAAAGACGCATGAACTGAACATTCAGTCAACGCCTCCCATTGGGCGCAATTCCCTAAATTCGCCCCGCTGCCTTGCGGGTAGGTTATTTAGCCAAAGGCTCGGGGTGGAGTCCCCTAAGTCAACTCCCTACTTCGGCTTGGGCAACCGGGTAGTATCACGCCCTCTCGCAAAACCATTGACTGTATTACAACGTGCTCATCAGCTGCTGTTCCTGCTACTCACTTTCACGCTACTTCATCACACGCCAATTGTTTGTTTGCTAACAATCCCCACTTTCGGTTACCCGATTCATCTGTTCAACAATCTGGCTGCGATTCCGGTTGCTCTGCAGATCAAGGAATTCAACCTATGGCTCTCCTTCGTCCCCGATCCTCGTTCCGTCTGGCGTGCTTCAACGTCGGACACTCATGCAGATTGGACAGCAAGCCGGTCTAGCGCGCACCCTAGATTCCCTAGACATTGATGTCTGCTGCCTTTCAGAAACCCGATTGCAAGATTCCAGCACTGTGCTTACACTGACATTCCCCACTGACCACGAAGCCAGATATCACCTGCGTCTTTCTGGAGATCCAGAAGCAACCTCAGCGGGTCTGGCTGGTGTAGGTATAGCACTAAGTGACAAGGCCGAGGCGGCACTACTCGACTGGTTCCCGATTAACAGCCGACTATGTGCAGTTCGGCTTCGGAGTTCGTGTAGAATCAACAGGCACCGCGAAGAGAGACGTAACTTGTTTGTGATCTCCGTGTACGCTCCAACTGACTGCAGTGGCGACTCGGTCAAGGACGAATTCTACCGGGATCTGCAACAGCTCTTGACTAATGCTAAAAGGTCGGATGTCGTTATCCTTGCTGGGGATTTTAATGCACGGGTTGTCCGCCTGTTACCATACGAAAGCCACCTTGGTGGTCATCACTCGCTCGATGAGAACCGCTCTGATAATGGAGAGAGACTTCTCACATTGTGTGAAGACAACCGTCTGTTTCTTTCGAGCACTAACTTCAGGCGTACAAAGAAGCGTTCCGCAACTTGGCGTCCCCCTTCTTTAACACAACCGTGGTCTCAAATCGATCACATTGCAATTAACTTCAACTTGATTGATGGTATCCGGTGTCGGATTTGCCTGTCACTGTGGCCAGCCACAGGACGCCTACGCTCACAGAGGGAACATGGGTGGCTTGCGCTGCACCACCCACAGCTCCAATCACACACCCCATATCCAGTGTAAACCCGAAGGAATAAGATCGGGAGGCATGTGGATGGGGCCTCGTTTCATCAACGGAGCTGGCCCACACTCGTTCACAGGCAAACACAATCACGCTGTATTTGGTAAATCAAGCGCACACAAGGCGGTGGCTGGACCGTAGTCCGCTCCACACTGAGTGCATGGAACCACTCTTCGAGCCTAGCACGACCACAAGGACCGTGCACACCGTCCTCTCCAGCAACGACCAACTGTCTCCTGCAGCCAGTATGGACGAGGTAGTGGGTAATAGACAGGTAGGCACCTTGTCAACATGCACATCAAGCGCAGCCACACCGGAGATATCAAGCAACAGCCAATCATTTGTAAACAAACGTTGGTCAAAAGTTATCAGTTCTTTGTCTATTTCCCAGAAATTCCAAGCACTCACCTTATGCTCAAATCCTAACCACTAAATCATTGAGCTGTCTACATTATTCTTTCAGATTGTGATGCGGCTCATCATGCAAAAGAAAAACATCGCTCGCATCCCATTGCGGATCCGAGTGATTGACCAATACACCATTGACGATATGCTCGACGGCAGTGTAAGTCACGAGTAAGTGCTTACTAAAGCAATTCTTAATTTTTCATGTTCACAGCCTTGTCCTATTTTGTATGGATAGCAGTGGTGGTACGCTTGGTTATGTGTTGGGTTTTACGAATCATTTCCTCCGCGAGAAAGTAGAATGTTTTCAGATTCATTGATTTGAAATGACCAAAAAAATGGTTTGAATGAACAGCTTTTCTCTCCAACATCTAGAAACTTCCTTGGTGGTAAATGGCCTCATATACCTGCTCGCAAACTTATCTGAAAACAATGCTATGGTACCGGCCTATTTGTATGAGGTTTTCGTAGCTGTTTCTTTGCTCACCATACTACAAAAGTTGTTGGCATGTGTATCTTTGAGCTTAGGTTATAGTGAGAAAACTCTAACAAGCTTTCTGTATCTTGTCGGTTCCATCAAGCTATACCTGAACAACTGAAGTTGAACCAGCGGCGAAGCAGGAGGGATAGGCAAGCCTGGATGTGTCGCGTGGGGATGCAAGGTACCGCCATCTCTTTTGCCACCGCGAGCAGACAGCCGGTTGTTACTGGGTGGACAAGTTGCTCAATTTTCCTGAGAGCACTAGGTTCAAGGGACAGTCCACGCTTTGAACTCCAGCCCGTGTACGCCCTCCTTGCGTGTTCACGCTTACCCTATAGGATCCTAACCTCTGGCAGTCTTCTTAAGAGGCAATGGCTTAAGCCCCTAGGCTGCGAGTGACTGCTTTAGCTACCGTAGGTGAGCCGCTAACTAAGCAGTAGCACAACTCAGTCACCTTGACTGCTTGGAGTAAACACTTCCGTGCAAAAAGCCATCCCTTGTTCACTAAGCCCATAATCGTTCAATGGCCTAGTAAACCATCATGGAAACTGATGTTTCTGTCCGTGTTGCTGTGTCCCTCCCCAACGGCTCCAGTGCACGTTGACAAGGTGAACACCAAGACTAGCAAGAGCAAGGGCATTCTCACCGGTACATGGCACCGTTATATAGCAAACGACCAGTAATCAAAACCAACCAAGACACTGGAACCCCTGCATTGAATGGGGCAATAAGAGAAAGGTCACACAAATCACCAATGAGACAAACACAATCTCAAGGGGGAACATGTGATAAGCTAATAGAAACGATCCCCGTTAACGGCCAGTTAGGTTACGAAACTGATAGGCTAAAACAAGTGCGAAAATATGCATACAAAAAGAAAGCTTTCCGTTACGAACTGTCACACGAAATTCATCGCACTTATGCGTTTCCGCTGGCAAGCCCAATGAACAGGTATTGGTAGGTTTCAGAGTACTCGCAGCTAAACTAGCCGAGACTGTCAAAACGTTCAGTAAAGCTCTGGAGGACCGTTTCATTTTGCTTTCCGGCAGTGAGGACTATTACTACAGTGAAACAATCACCTACAGTATCCCGAATATGTGGTGACTCTCTGCTTGAGACCGGTTGTTTTGATCATTTCAACAGCAGTTCACTTCCCTCCCTTAAAATCCACTTATCTTTCCGTATTTCACCCGTCTCAGTTAACAATCGCTGCTCTGAACAGGCCCTGAGACGCGTGTATGGTTTTGTTCATGTCACCGCGCTCTACTACAACGTTCACTTCCACTGATTGATACAAGCCTATGCGTGAATTTTAATCTTGACTTCTACTTTCTACGAGCTTTACACCACTCACAAAACATCTACACTTGATGCAAGCCTGTTTTGGTTTACATGCGACAGCACCCCACTGTGGAGATAGGGTCCGTTTTCGTGAGTCATATTGGATTGAATTGCGCCCCTTCCTTATAGCTTGACGGTCCCTCTGACCACAGTCGGTGTTGGAACCAGTGTGCTTCGCTACCATATCCTTAAGTTCTACGGTCGCCGTTGTTCGCCCGGGCGTTCGAACTTTGTCCCATCTGGCGCACTGCGTCCATCCGCATGCCTTGGCACTGGTGCAATCAGCCCATCAGTCACGTGAAATGCTCGACCGCGAGCAACACCAAACTTACCTCCAACGTATCCAATTCCAGATTTATCCGGAACTGGGTCAGAGGGACCACTACGTTACCCGACAACTTCGGTGTTAGCACAGCAGACTCTGAATCTGCCGGTGATCCTGGTTCCTAGTTAACTTCAGTCAGGTGATTCTCTCCCGTAAAAAGTACTTGCGGTGCTGTGTGAACCAGTCGAATGCGAAGCTAACTTAACTCGGATCCACAGATACCGTAAAGTTGGAAGTAAAAACGCGTCGTGAAAGCACACATAAGTCGTATTAGGCAACTCGCAACTGCACTAACTGTATTGGTACAGTACAACAAAAACAATAAAATAACGTATGTGGGCAATCACCACAGTACAATTCATTCACCGGACGTATCGCCATCTCCGGGAACGAACCGCGCTGTTAGTCGGTCCCAAGTTTAGGCATCGAATAGTACTGAAGTATAGTATGTGGACGCCTGTGGTCGCCTGTGGTGCTTGGTGGAAGTTCTTCTGATTCAGGAGATCTCGCGAAATAAGAACTTCAGCGCCCGCAAAAAATTATTTAAAACTAGCAAGCATGTAATCCAAGGGTAACAACCTGATCACTCGGCTGAGTAGCTGGGACACTAGTTCATGTGAACACAAGAGTCTCAATTTATGTTTCCGTGGGCTCATTACACGCCTCTTTCAAAGATAGTAAACAGGCCTGAAGTTAAGTTTCGCGCCTTTTCGATATTGAGACCGCTATTAGTCGTTTGGCACATATAAACTACCTCCCTTTTTCTGACAGGGTACCGGCCCCTCACAATTTGACCGAAGACTAAAATATTTGGGCCTACTCGTTTTAAATGGAATTTTCACTGCGATTGCTTTGTCGGATAAACTGATTGTCCTTGGAGCACAGTGTTCTGCGACATATCGCACATTCCAGTCAGCTTAGACTCTGATCCACGCAGCTTCTATTAGCGAGCGTTCCACTTCATCACCTCTCGAAGCATTAGTTTATCTTTCATCCATCAAATACTACATGGTTCGTGCCTCGCTTTCAGTATGTAACATATACTACTGCATCATTTTGTCTTGTGCCTTAGTAAGCAGCTGTGAGGTTTCACTCTGCTCGATGTTCTTAGCCCAACATGAATTATGTCCTTTTCTTCCCATCTGTTCCACCAGCAACTTTGATCGATTTCGAACGTTCTCGAAAGACAACTGTTTCTACTTTGTTCTTGGCCAGAAGCACTGGGACGTGGCAGGCTGCGACGAAGTCAACCCAGTGATATGCAGCATTTACTAACACATTCCCGTTTTCCCTTATTACTTCAGTATTTCACCATTTCGCAGTACATTTGTTATCCGGATTCTGACGTTAATCCAATATAATTAATGATATGGGCACGCGACCAACTTTATCCCATTACTTCATGCCCTCTGATCTGGTTTTCTAACTTGTAATAGCCGCTTCCTCATGAATGCGAAGTATTAATCCTTTGGACTATGCTTGGACCGTTTCAGAAGTCAGCATCCCTGAGCGGCTTGTGAACCATCCGCAAAACCTTTTACAGGAAAATGCCTATGCTTTGAACAGAAAAGAAGCGAACTAGCTTCGAATTAGATACCATTTTACAGCAAACGTGCCTAAAATGTGCAATAACATGATGTCAGTGAGGGAGCAATTACAGATGCTAGTCGGGCTGTTATCTTAAGCAATTCGACGATAGGAATTCGGCCCAATGGTCGATGGGAAATTGCACTGCTATTTAAGGCCTTGGTGGCTTATTTGTGTTGGTAGTTTAGAAACATTCGCCGACATTCACCAAACTGGGCGGATTAAGGCTTGGCGCCAGAAATTCGACCGAGTGTTGTGCCTGCCCCACGGCTGCTTCCATTCGCTAACGGCAGTGATAACACGAAGGAATAAAAACGGGACTGAAGAGTTTAACCAATAAATGTAAAGTCAACCAAAGCACTGAAAACGCGCTACCAGACAAAGGGCAATATGGACCAAGCAAATACAGAACCAATCGGACGCTATTAACGAGAGGAAGGATCGAGCGTTGGTGTAACGGATTTGCGCAGACCTGGTCGCGTTGGTTTAGACGAGAGCTACGCGCAACGTGAGCACGGTCCCTACTCACACACCTATTTAGATGGCACGCTGAGTCCTCGCAAACGGACAACAATACACACACGATCAATGAACAATGAGTTTGTACGGGTTAAGAAGCGTTGCCTTACAAGTCATGTTGGATAGTTGGTAGGACTATCGACATAAAATAATGATGATACTGATAGTAAAACATTAAGTAATTTAAATATGAAAATAAGGACTTTTCGTTTGCTCCGCCGTAGTCCTGCAATCTGCTTAGAGTCACAGCGTCCGCAGTTAACGCCCAATAATTCCATACTAAACTCCACGTGTAGGACGGTGACGTAGTGCTAAGTGACAAAGTGTAAGTGGATGAGTGCATCAACCAACCGTCTTTTGAATACTGTTTGTTTCAGTGCAGAGACGACCGATTCTGGGTGAGCATCCCACAGGTGAGAGACACGAAAGGAAAAGCGATTTCTGCGGCACTCCAGGCGGTTATATTGTACAGCTAGTTTCAATGAGTGGCTCCTCAGTTTTGTATTGCTAATGAGTTGCAGTAAAGAGCGGCACGCATGATGTGGGTCTCGCAGAACCAAGTACGCCATAGTTGTAAGTAGTAGGGGGATTCATTAGGTATTTTGTGTAGGTTCGTCGCAGTTAGACACAGGCAGACAGCCACCACACATCTAGGAAAGTATGCCATAATCAGGTCGCCTCGTAGTCTGCGAGGGCTTCCACTGAATACCCCCAATCGCTGCAACCTCTCCTGTTATGAAAGATTGTGCATTCCAAGTACGTTCTTAGATGCCGACGTTGCGGCAGCTCCAGTGCATTAAGGTCGTGCTTCAGCCATAGACGCGAGAGACTTAGACGCATACGCAGCAGCCGGCTAAACGGCGCACACGATCACGTGACCACGCGACTCCCAACCACCCGCAAGAGCAGACAAGAGCAGATGAAGCGGACCTCTGAGAGTTCTTTGACGACCTACAAAAACCAAATCACAGTTGGAGCAATGCTTCATTTGTGGGTGAAATGAATCATCACGTAGGACTTATGGTTTACGAAAGTTCATTGCCCACGTTAGCCAGTTTTGTTTCGACTCCGAGTGGCTGGATCCTGCTACTGTGTGGGCAGGCATTGAATTCACTGTCCACGCACTGGAGTTTGTGGCGCGTTTTTGCGGGGTTATTTGACGTGCCCCCAACACCTCCCTTTGAAGATAATAAGTACCGCTTCTGGCGAGGATTGACCTGGAGGGATTCCGGTTATCTCCGGATTCTTCCTATTTGTCGGTAAGGCTGGTTCTGCAGACGTAGCGGCGGCTGGGCAGCTTCGACCGTGGTCTCTCCTTGTGTAGCCATTTCGAAGGTATCCAACAAGAAACGCAACGGCAGATGCACAGGAAGACTGGCTGGCGTGAAAGGTTCTCCGTGTTGCGGTTGAAGTTTATTGTGATGGTTGACCCATGTGTCATCACCCACGGAGACATTGTGCAGCCTATCACCTCGACGGGCCGTCACTTTTGCTTTGATCCAGCGTGGATGACCTGCTCGATAGTCGCGAGCGTGTACCGGGGCTCCAACGACGAATTCATTGTGCTTTGTGTAGACAGTAGGTTGACTTGTTGGTTTTTCGGTCGGGATGAGCGCTTCGTTTGCGGCCCGTCGCTCGCGGCTCATCAACGCTTCAGCTGGAGTTTGGTATCCCGGAGCTGTTTGATTTAGTGTAGACCGATAAGAAGGCAAGAATGCTTGAAGGCATTTATCCACGGTGCGCTGCCCATGGTACTTCACCTGTGTCCTTTTGTAGGTGTTCAAGGACGTGGTGGGTTTTCGCGTGGCAAGCGTTTTCCCTATAAAGAGCCACATGTGTCTGCTTAGCAACACTGCGACGTGGCGGATGTGACTCGCCACAAACTAAAGTTACTGCCCCTGGATCCGAAAAATGCTACCAACCCACGGACATCAGTCATTTATTCTCACATTTTAGACGATACCAAACAGTCAAAATTGTTGCAGCACATTCAAAACACAAGCTACATTCACACACAATCGCTTACGGATATACACTCATACACATACGTTCATTCTTATGCCAAATATGTACTTTTCTGCATTTTTGCTCACACTGTTAGCTTAACATGATCATGCCTGTAAAGGTGTGCCTCACTTGGTGGAGAAAAATGTTTGACAAACCTCTCCGCTTGACCATTGGACTAAGGATCTTAGGGCGGTGAGCGTAGGGGTTGGATGCAATGCCAGCGACAAAAGTCTTCGAACATGGATGACTAAAACTGGGAGCGGTTGTCGGACACTAAAACGTCAGAAAAGCCATGTTGACTGAAGATTTTTTGGGGACACCCCAGCGTAGCGGAGGCGGTTAGTGGGTTGAGAGCGACCACTTCAGGCCATTTGGTATTGACATCGACCACGACCAGGTAGGAAATGCCATCGAGCGAACCAGCATAGTCGATGTGCACTCGAGAGCACGATTTTTCTGGCGGTTGCCAAAAAACTGGTAGTTGGTGTGGTGGCATCTTGGATGAATCTTGAGATCTTGAGCAACGGTGATCCGTATCTTCAATGTCGTTGTAAATACCAGACCAGTACACATAACGACTGGCGCTTGCCTTCCTTCTATTCATACCGGTGTGAGCAGAATGAAGCTGTCGGAGTACAGCTTGCCGAAGGCGTGAAGGAACGACAGCTCGATCTTCAGTCGTGAGGCAGGAATCGACCACGGAAAAGGAGCCGTGGCACTGATACAGTTGGTTCGGTTCTCCATAAAAAGCAGTGTTTGAGCAGGGCGTCTGAAGGTAAGAGATAGCTTTCTGCAGGACAGGGTCTTAACCAGTTGCGCGGCGTGTGTCGGCGGCAGTAATGGGGAGACTTCGGATAACTTTCGAGAGTTCATGAAGAACTTCGTCATCAACTATAACAGCGGCGATCACCGCGTCGTCCATGTCATGTTTCGAAATGAGGCGAGAGAGTCCGTTGGCTTGACGGAAGTCCTAAGAACGACAATAGCGGATTTCGAAGTCGTAACCTAGTAGGATGAAACACAACGTTGAAGTCGGCTAACCGTGTATGCGGGAATGTCTTTCTTAGAACCGAAGATTGAACGTAGTGGCTTATGATCGGTCAATAGCGTGAACCGCCGACCACACAGTACCTTGTGGAATTTGGCGACTTCAAACACGATGGCCTTGGCTTCCTTCTCAACCTGACCATATTTCTTCTCCGCAGGCGTCAGGAGACGTGAGACGTGCACAACCGCTTTTTCGGATCCATTAGGGAAGCGATGGATATCTACTCCGATCCCGTAGGCAGGAGTGTCAGTAGCTACCAAACTCTACAAGATTGGGTCGTAATGGGTCAACAGTAGGTCATTATTCAGCATGGATTTCAGACGAATGTCTTCTGGCACGCGGGGGACCAGCATCAAGGAATGTCCTTCTGCAACAGCCGATCAAGGCGTGTCTCGAACATCGTATATCAATGGCAGGAAGGCGCTGTATTAGCTGCTGAGATCCAGGAAGGATCGCAGTCGTGACACACGCTGGAGCCGGCGTACGCTGGACAGATCGGACGTTCTCAGGCTCGGGATGATGGCCACTGGCATCGAAAACAAAACCAAGGTATTTGCTCGATGAAAGAAAGAATTGATATTTCTCGGCTTTTAAGCGGAAACCATAATCCTGGATACGCTGAAGGACAGCAACCAGGCGCTCTTGAAGCTCTTCTGAGGTGCGACCAATAATGATTAGATCGTCCAGGTACGCGGCCGTACCCGGAATGCGAGAGATCATGGCGTCCATTGTCTGTTGGAAAATGGCCAGAGCGGTTTTGACACCGAACGGGAGCCTGGTGTAGTGTAAAAGACCACGATGTGTGTTGCTCGTCAACAAGGATGGTGATACAGGAGCGACTTCGAGCTGTAGGTAGGCGTCTGCCAAGTCGTTTTTAACGAAACACGTCACCGTTGAGTATTGTGAAAAGGTCCGCTGGGCTCGGTGGTGAGTAGCAATTTGGCTCTAACGCAACGTTGAGACCGGTGGAGAAATCGGCACCGATGCGGAGGGATCCATTCGGCTTCTTGACCACGACGGTCGGGGCTACCCAGGCCCAATAGAACACAGGCACCAGGACGTCCACCTCTTTCAGACGTTGGTGTTCGGCATCGACCAAGGGTGGGGCTGAGTA